AGCTAGTATGAGTACACTGTGTCTGAATTTGTGGCATCTTGTGTAAGTTTTGATAGGAAGACACTAAGTATATTCACTGGCTTTTCTCATGAATGTAAAGTATGAAGATTAGGAAGGGAAGGAAGGGAAAAACAGGATTAGATCATCATGCTTTGAGAAGGGAAGTATTAAGGATTTGTGTCCATTGATGGAGAGAGGGAGAGATCAAGTGAGAAATTGAAAACTGATTAAGCATGAGAAAGCAGGAGAGAGAGAGAGAGCTAGGGAAAAGGCAGGAGAAAGAGAGAGATGGAGAAAGAGAGAGAGGAGAGAGAAGGAGAGAGAGAGAAGAGAGAGAGAGAGAACAAAGAGGTATATGAATCATTACAAGGTTGTGTCATGTCTTCACATCTGGTCTTCATCCAACAATCCTGTGTGCTAATATACTAGCTAAGAGAAGGGAGTGACCTTTGAAACCTTATTGCCCTACAAACAATAATAATAAAATAAAAAATAATAATGATTTAATCTATTCCATCCCAGAACTGAATGTTCTTAATTGCACTATTATCAATGCTTAGGTGACTCCCCGTAAAAATTTAAGTGTACAAACTGCAATACTAACTGATGGCCTTGTGAATGATTCTGCCATAATAATAATAATAATAATGCACAGTGTTCAAGATGAAGTTAAATACCGTTTGCATTTAAACCCGTGTACATACATGTACATGCATGATATTCCCATTCCATTATAAAAACCAGTACCATTGAAATTATCCTGTTTTGATATAATTATTCTCTATATATTTGGGGTCTTGTTTGGTTTGTGTTTGCGTACATTATTGCTTATTGTATTCACCAAGGCATGTCCTGTAGGCTGCAGCCCAGTGTGTGTGTGTCAGTAGTATAATATCACATTAAGCAATCAAGTTTCTATAGATACATTATTATACTGTATAATTGAATGCTGTCATCCTACTGGTATGTATGTATGTACGTATATTATGTACTTGTATTGTATGTGTATGTATTGTGTATTGGGTGGGTGCAGTGTTAATATTGTTGTTTATATATAAACATGATTAGCTCCTTCATTTGTCCATATATGGACCTATTGTTAAACTCTTATTCTCTAATTGGTTGAGCTATTGTTCTTCTTATTCCCCATTGCAAATAATAATAATAATAATATGATAATAATGCTAGTAAAAATTTTGTGTTAATTTACAGTGTCACATGTAAATTTGATGCATGTTTCATGTGTACTATTACTACTATTATCGTGTTTACATGTATTTTTTAAATTGGCTGACGCACATGTACATTTACATGTCAGCAATACATTAGTAAAGAAATAAGAATAGTATTTATTAGTAATAGTAATAGTATTATTATTATTAGTATTATTGCTTGTAATATGATGAGTATTATTTGTACATTTCCAGTGCATGCTACTTGTAACTCTATACCATTCTCGGTATTTTAATTTTTTAGATCAATGATAAAAATTTTGCAAGCATGTACACACACACGTACATGTACATGTTGTTGTTGTTATTATTAAATAATTGTTTATCGATGACTTTAAATTGTTATTTTTCTTATTAGCCTTGTTTATATTTATGACTCCCAATTGTTTATACAACATCATCATTATTAATACAATAATTAAATGCATATACATGTATCTACACACTTATATGTACATGTATATTATATACCACTACAGTACTTAGTGTGTTGATATGACTGCTACCTTTATTCATTGCTATATACATTGTCATTATCTCTTTGTCTATCCATAGACACCACTGACAACTGAGAGCTGAAATCAGAAGGAAAAGAGAGAGAAAGAGAGGGGGGAAAGCTAGTTTTGGAAAGACAAAAATTTATAGTTTTAGGAATCGAAGAAACATCAAAGAGAGATTAATACAATATAGTTTCTTGTTGTCTGTGACGGTTTCATTCTAATTATGGAGTTGATTATAAGAGACAGTTTCTCTTCCTCGTCTCTTTCTAAAAGTCGGAGTCCCTCCCTGGGAGCCGTGTCGGCTTCAGCCACACCCACCGGTCAACGAAATAACAGACGAAAGATAACAGTCATTGACGGCAATTTTCAGAGTCAGAATGACTTAGATCGGAGCCAAACCCCACCTCCTTTTCTAAACCCGAATATTCCCTCACCACGTCATTCTGGGACCCCTTCAACCGATTCCCTTCGACCACGGGCCATGACGTCCCCACCCGTAGACCTGCGTAACGGGCGTGACAGTCGCTCCATGTCACACCTGGACGTGATTCGAGCTCCCTCACCTTCACTGAGTTGGAGGAGTAGTACCAGCTCTATAGCAGATACTGCTGTTTCATCTCTCATCCAACCTCCTTCGTCCGAACACAAGATACTACAAGACATCAAGAAGCAAATGACACAATCGTTCCTACACTCGAAAAGCTTAGAAAGAGAAGTTAGTAAAATACCAAAGCTTCGGTCAGACTTACAAGCAATGTACCGAGAGAGAGAAAAATTGATGAATGAGTTACTGGAACAGAGAGCCATTGTACTACAGTTAAAGCAGCGAGTGTCTCTATTACATGAGCAAAACCAGGAGCTGGCGAAATTAGCAAAGTCTGACTCGAGTAGCAACAAGCAAGTACTTGCCATTCGTAATACTCTAGTAACGACAATGGCTCAATTGAAACAGATGGAGGATCAGGTTCAAGGGATACCGCTACTGAGATCACAGATACGAGAGTTGGAAGAGCAAGTAAAAGAGGCAGAGATTAGGGGCGGAGACCGACCAAGAGTTCCGTCAGATCTACCCGAAGGCGTGAGTAGCGAGACTTATGTGAGTCTACTAGAAGAGAACCAGAAACTCAAATCAGCTAACGCACGCATAATGGAAGAGATGAAGTCCGTTTCTAAGCATTTATCTGCTGTCACCGAGAACTGTGACAGCATCCAGTCGAGGATGGAGCAATTCCATTCATCACAGAACACCTCCGGTCCACTACAGGAGCGTATCAAGAAACTCGAAGATGAAAAGTCCTCACTTTATCAAGAACTGGTCGACGCTAAATACCGTAATGATAACGAGACTGATGTTGATTTGGCTCACCTCAAGAAAGAGGTTCGGTCGGTTAAAAAGGCTAACTCAAGACTGAGGGCAAAGATAGAGAGCATGAAGATGGAGTCGAGGACTCAGAAGGAGCAATTGGTACTGAAGCTGTTTGAGATTGAGTCTCTAAATGTGAAGACATCAAAGTATGAGATGGAGAAACAGCTACTGGAAATGGAACAAGTACAAGTAAGTAATAATAATAATAATAATAATAAATTTTAATGTAGTACATGTATACATGTACATGTTTGACTGTTTGCATGTGCATTATTCATTATTAGTCTTTTACATTATTAAAACTACATGTACATGTACATGTATCTATAATGTACAATTTACTGTGCATACATTTATTAATTTTAGAGATTTTATTATTAGTCATTATTATTATTACATGTACACCATATTTACTATACAAAGCATGCAGTGTATTTTTCAAAACATTTTTATTTCATTATTCCGTCAATCATTAGGTCCAGTCTGAGGGGTCTTTCCCTTCCTCTCCTTCAGCAGCTGCTGCCGCTGGCTCAACCTCAGACGACCCACTAAGAGAACTCTCTCCAGACGGACGAGCACTGATCCTCAGATTCCAACAGCTAGAGGTACACTCACACGAGATGCAGAGCGTCATAAAGACATTCGTATCGGAAAGACAAGAAATGGAGTCGAAAATAGCCGAGCTAACGGCTCGTCTAAATGAGACTGCAATTGATGATTTACAAAGACAGATAGAGGAGTCTGACAGCAAACTAGTCATAGCACGAGAGAGGATACGACAGTTGGAGGAGACTATTACTCGTAGGTCTCTGAGTCCAGAGATACAGGGGGTGGAGGACGAGCGAGATTCTTTGAAACGTCAAGTGAAAGAAATGAAAGTTGAGCTAAGACGACTATCAGTAATAGAGCAACAGGTGGTGGCTAAGGAGAGTGCTGGAGATGAGCTTGTAGAGACGAGAGAGAAGTTTGAAAAGACAAAGATCGAGCGAGATCGTTTGAGTCGAAAAGTTAAAGAGGGTCGGTCAAGATTAAAGTCTCTCGCCGGAGATCTTAAAAAGTCAGCAGAGCTTGTGGAAATATATCAAGGACAGTGTACTAAGATGGAGAAAGAAATGAGTGAGAGTACGAAGGAGATTGAGCGATTGAAGG